ATGAATAAGTCATTGATTGTGCAAAATTCGATCATTCTCTCTCCAGCTCCATTTCTGTCACCGAGTCCATGTTTTCCAACTACTGAATCTTCTTCTTTGTTCCTGACTTTTGCATTCCAGTTACCCATTATTATCAGTGCATCTTGATTGCATGTTCGATCAATCTCCGATTGTAAAAGTTGGTAAAAATCTTCTATGTCCTCTTCTTTGGCTCTGGTTGTTGGTGCATGTATTTGAATGCCCCTAGCAGTTTTAAAAGACAAAACTACTTTTTGCCCTACTTGTTTAATGGACTGACTTTCCAGTAACACCTTTTTAATACCAGACTTCGCAGTGAATTCAAATTCCCTCCTTCGCCGTTATGATTCCCCTAGTGGTGTAGCTCAGAGAGAAACCATTGTTATTTCTAAACCCATCAAGTTCCCAGTAAGATCCTGCATTAAATCTAAAGTGCTAACTTTGTGTCTATTAACTGTATATGTACAGCTGTCATACCCTCTGGGTTCCATCCTTGTAATCTGCAGATTAAGCAGCATGCAGAGCTCATCAATAGTCATCAGGTCAGAGTCCCTCTAGGCATTAGATTACTGGTGATTTTAATGATATTATGTCTCATTGGTTAGTGTGGGCTTTCAGTAGTAGTGAGGAAGTAGGAATAAAAATCCTGTTCCTTTCACGGATTTTATGATTCACTAACCTTTTGACCCATAATGTTTCCATTTTCTTTGTGGGACTGATTACATCTGTGGTAAGCATATAAATTAGGATGGTGCTTATCAAAGAGATTTCTAGAAACAAAAATAAGTTGAACCTAGGTAAACTGGGTTCTAGGAAAGAGTTTAGTAGAGAGAGTTAGGACTTTTTCATTTTAATAGAGTAGAATTAGAAGAATAAAACACGTATAATAAGATTTGTTTTAGGATACTTTTATTGTGCAAGTGGTATATTATCAGTCATATCATTATGTGTCTCACACATGCTTGGGTCACTTTGTAAACTGGATAGCTTTGGGATCGTAAAAAAAATTTAATGCTGGCTATTGGGAGTCAGGTAGTCCGAATTCAGGTTATGCCTCTATTACTTTTTATTTTTGTGACTGTAAGCAAGTTATTTTATCTGTTAAAGTCTCCATTTCCTCTTCAGTATAAAATAAAATGATAATAAAATTATTTTTTTTAACTTTAAAATTAAATGAGATAATAAATTAACCAGGTAATGAATTTGTCTTCCATGGGGTAAGCAAGTGTCCACTTAAATGTTAACTGTTTTTAGCATTGACTCTGAAAGGTGACCCACCCTTCTGATAATTTAGTAGTTCCAGGGAGATCGGTAGCTTGTTGGATAGCAAAAGCGAATAACCATATTATTGTGTTCTATTCATAGTTGCACACAAGTGAACTCAATGATGGCTACGATTGGGGTCGTCTTAATCTTCAGTCGGTGACTGAACAAAGCTCACTTGATGATTTCCTTGCAACTGCAGAACTTGCGGGAACAGAGTTTGTGGCTGGTAAGTTGTAGCTAGTGCACATAACACTTCAAAACAAGTGTACTTAGAAATGCTATGAAGACCCTTCTAAACTCATAGATAAATTGGCATTAACCCAAACCTACTAATAGTGTGGGAAGAACCACTTGCACCATAGTTTTAAAAATCATCTTCAAAAGCATTTCAGAATATTACTGTCATCAAACCAAGTTCAAGAAACTCAACCTCACATCATGTTCATGTTGTTGCTGTTGCGTGTGTGTGATTGAGTCTGAACCAATAGCTGACCCTCCACCAGGTTTTCAGGGGCAGTAAATCGCATGGGTAGAGATTGCCCATCTTTCTCCCATGGAGCAGCTGGTGGATTCAAACCCGGTGCCATTGGTATTGCAGCGCAGTTTCTTACCACTAGACCACCAGAACTACCTCCAGTCTTATACAGGAAAAAAATTAGTGAATATTATGGTGGATAGTAGGGAGCTCTGGTGGTATAGTGGCGAGAAGCTGTGCGCGAATCCCGAAGGCATGCAGTTCGAATCCACCAGCTACTCTACAGGAGAAGGATAGGCAGTCTCCTATGGATTTACTGCCTCCAAAAACCCACTAGAAGCTCAGCTCAAGTTCAGTTCCTGCTTGACAGCACACATCATCATTATGGTGGACAATCCTAAAATTTTCTAGAAAATGTATTCTAATGCCATTATTAAGGCAAGCTTCTGAGTTAAGCACTTTTACTTAGGCAATTTATATTTTGAAGTACAAGTCAACACATTACGAGCATTTTTTTATGCATGTTATTTTCTTAGTTGAAACTATTGGTATTTTTTTCTTCTTCTAAGCACTTGAAACAGCACCTGGCAAAGCCATAGCATTATAGACTGTTATACTTTTATCATTGTTGTAAATATTCTCTTTATCATTGTTAGTAATGTTGTTATCTCACATTATTTATCAAATCATTCATTTATTCTGAATGTTTTTGTTGATCAATATCTACTCTCAAGCAAAAACCAAAAAGCCCAATTGCTATCAGATTAATTGGGGGTTACCACATGTTTGCCAGAGTAGAACTGTGTTGCACAGGATTTTCGTAAGCTGTTTTTTTTTAGAAGTAGCTCACCAGTCCTTTCTTTGAGAGTGCTTCTGGATGCCTCAAACCTTCAGCCTTTTGGGTTAAAGCTTAGCTATTACAGTGTTGGTTATTTACATCATCCAGGAACTCCGCTTTTGAGCATCGCACCAGATGTTAAAACTGCAAGAATGAATATGTCAGTTTCTATCTTATTTTGTCTTTGGTGTTGTGAAAGAAGTAGACTACAGTGGGATTATGAAAGATGTTTTGGTATTCCTTTATATCTAAAGAAAGACTAAGGCCAATCACAGAAGGTACCACACTGTGATTGTCTTAGAAGGTAATTAGATGTTGCAAGGGCAGGTGAGATTGTATAGGATGGATCAGCTGGACAAGCAGAAGGCCCCAGTCAAGTTATGAAGCAGCAGTTTGTTCATAGAAGAGTTAGAAGGTTGGCCTCATTGGTTTTTTAAAGTGCATATGTTAACTAGTTGCCACAAATAAATCCTGATAAAGTGTATGTTAGGGTGAAACTGTTGTGTAGGTTTTTTTGAAGTAGATTGGTAGGTCTGCCAGCCAGTTGTCACTTACTCAAACCTCCATCCCTTTAGTTTTCAGCCAGGTGCATTAACTGCTTACACCACACGGCCTCCCAAGGTGCAGAGGTATAAAATGTGATAGACTGCAGATAGGACAGGTGACCAGAGCCCAGACTCTAGATTAAAATGCTTTAAGAAAGTCTGCAGGGATTTAAGCAATATGTGATTTCCCCCCGGAGAAGGATGTAGCTGTCTGCTTCCTTAGAAACTTACAGCCTTGAAAACCCTGTGTTGCATTTCTCCTCTGTCCTATAGGGTCACTGTGTATTGACCCCAATAGTAATGAATTTGGTTTCACTTCAAGGTGGTAATGTTTTGTGGGTTGGGTTTTTTTTTTTAACCAATCACTGATTTGTTTTGAAGAGGAATAAAGATCAATGATTAAGGAAAAAGAATAAACTAGACTTAGTGTGGTAGATAAGGTGTTCTGGTGGCCTAGTGGTAAGAAGCTCAGTTGTAATCCCAAAGGCACGTGGTTCAAATCTACCAGCCGCTCCACAGAAGGATGAGCAGTCTCCTCCCATGTGATTTACTGCCTCTGAAAACTCATTGGAGGGTCCGCTTTGGGTCAGTTCCAACTCGATGGCATACAGCAACAGTGTGGTAAATTGTGAAGACAGGTCAAGAGTTACTTTCAGGTTTCACAGTCAGATAAGACATAACCAAACCCCACTGTTGTCAACTCTTACCAACCACAGGATAGAGAACCACTTCATAGGACTAGCAAGTCTTTAATATTTATGGAAAGCCGTTCTTGCTACTAACCCAAAGGCTGCACTTCTGGTAGTTGAATCCACCAGCAGCTTCTCAGGAAAAAGATAAGCATTCTCCTCCCGTGCAGTTTACAGCTCTGAAAACGCACTGAAGGGTCAGCTGTGAGTTGATTCTAGCAACATTGACAGTGAATTCTAAAAACTACTTCTTTCTGCCACAGAGCAGCTGGTGAATTTAGACTACACCTTTTGAGCAGCAGCAGAGCACTTTTAACCACTGTCTTAAGATTTAAAATGAACACCACGAACAAGTACTCACAAGGATATGGAAAAATTGCAACTCTCACATATTGCTGATTGGAGTGTAAAGTAGTACAGCCACTTTGGAAAGCAAACTGGCAGACAGTTCCTCAAAAGACTAAACAGTGACCTTATGACCTAACAGTTCCTGGGTATATACCCAAGAGAAGTGAAAACACATACCTACACAAAAGCTTGCAGACAAGTGTCATGGCAGTGTTACTCATAGTAGCTAAACGGTGGAAACAACCTAATATCCATTACCTGATAAATGTTGTTATGGGCCATCGAGTTGCTTGCGACTCATAGCAACCCTATGTATAAGAGCCCTGCTTTATCCTGTGCTAACCTTATTGTGTCAGACAAACCTATTTCCATTACCGCAGTCACTGAATTGATCCATCTCATTAAGGATCTTCCTCTCTTACACTTTCCCTCTACCCTTCCAAACATGATGTCCCTCTCCCAAGGAAATTAGGTCAGTCCCTCTTTGCAACATGCCCAGAGTAAGTCAAAGCGTCAGAATCCTTGCCTCTAACGAGGAGCCTGGTTCACCCTCTCCAGGACAAACCTATTTATTCTCCTAGCAGTCCATGGTATATTCAGCACTCTTCTCCAGCACCACAACTCAAAGCATCAATAAGTCATTCATTGTCCAGCTCTCTGACACATAGCACACAATTGCAGACTATGGCCTAGATCAGACGCACCTTAGTCTCCAGCCTGGTGTCATTGCTCTTCAGTACTCTGGAGAGGTCCCTGAAAGCTGACTTTCCCAGTGCAGTTTGTCTCTTGATTTACTGGCTGCTGGTACCAAGAATGTTGATTGTGGAGCCAAGCAAACTAAAACTGTTAACAATCTCAATCTCTTCACTATCCAGAATGATGCTACCAATTGGCCCAGTGGTGAGAATCTTTGTTTTTTTGATGTTAAACTTCAAGTAGATAACGTAAAATGTAATATATCCTTATGGTGGGAACCCTGGTGTCAAAATAGTTAAAACGCTACGCTGCTAACTCAGAGGTAAGCAGTTTGAACCCTCTAGTCACTCCATAGGAGAAAGATGAGACATTTCTTCTGACATGAAGATTTACAGTCTGAGAAGTCCTGTAGGGCATTTCACCTCTGTCCTACAAGATACTATATCTCTGTAGCAGTGGGTTATATTCATTCAGTAGATTATTACTCAAAAAGGAGTGAAGTACTGATAAAAGCTACAACATGGAAGAGCATTGAAAACATTGTGCTAAGAGAGAGAAGTCAGTCACAAAAGAGCCAATTGCATGATTCTGTTTATGTGAAATTCCTAATTGACAAAATTATTTAGAGAGAAAAATTGTGATTTTTCGTCTTCATCTCGGGATGAAGATGGAGAGAGGAACGATGAGTGGTGACTGCTAATGTGTGTAAAGGTTTCTTTTGTAAATAATGGAAATTGTAGTGGTGTGGCCCAGAGCTTAGAGGAAGCTGTCCAGTTTGAAGAATTGTATCCTGGGTGTTTCTCACTTAAATTGTGATCTGTTACTTCTTTAATGAACCCCATAATCATGAAAATGAATAAACGAAATACTGATGCTTGAACAACTTTGTTTAAAACCACTAAATTATGGGATATATAGTGTGTCAGGGTAGCATGGTATGATAAGCACTGGACTGCTAGCTCAAAGAGTTCTTCCTCAGGAGAAAGACCGTCTGCTTCTGTAACAATTCACAGCCTTGGGAACACTAAGATGGGCCTGCTCTGTCCCACAGAGTCACTGTGAATTGGAATGGACTAGCTGGCAGTGGCTTGGGGCATATGGTATGTGATTTACATCTCAACAAAGCTATTTTTAAAACCTTACCTTTGCTAGTACAAGTTTGATAGAGTAGTAAAGAACTAGTTCTAGGAAGTTAAGGAAATCAAGCAGAGGAGGGAATTAGGTCAGTGAACAAGTTGTATCCTTTGAGACATTCGACAGTAGAAGGAAGATAGAAGGGGTCTGTATGTGCATGTAGCAGCTGCACGCAGAAGGATGAAGGATGGTATTAGCATGTTCATTGGTTCTGGGATGTGAGCAGTAGTGAGTAGAGGGAAAGGTTGAAAACAGAACATGTGGTTTGGCAATCCCTATTAAAACTTTAAAGCGTATATCCTGTGAACCCACATTTCTACTTGTCAGTGTGTGAGCATTGATTGTCAAATTTTATTGAGCTAGAGAACGATCTGGGGCAATTGTTCATGCATTACTGAAGCCCTCTAGAGATTCTGAGTCGTTTACTCTGGAAAACTACCCGAAAAGCCACTGCTGTCAAGTAGATGCTATCTTGTGGTAACTGTCCCTATAATTCAGAGCCTGAGAAGTTGCATTTCTGACAAGTTTGGGTTGATCATGATGGTGTTAGTTCAAAGAGTATTCTTGCCCTAGAGGGAACACATGTGCACGAGACCGTATACCAGAATAATATAGACAGGTCTGCTTAAACAGTGGAAACCTGAACCACCGTGTGCATGTTCAAAGAGGGGGGAAATGGCCAAGTAAACTGTGATGTAAACCCATGTTCCATGGTTTAAAAGAATGAAGTAAGTGTCTGTGTGCTCATAGGAAGGATCTCAAAGATCTGTTACTGAACATAAAGACCATATTGTAGAGTGGTGCCTCTACAGTGGTGTCATTTGCATTGTTTTTAAAAATCTGCCCATATACAATAAAATCTTTAAATTGGAAACCTGTCAGAGGGAAACATATTTTTTACTAATGTGAACAGTGGGAAAAAATGGAAAATGTCCTTTGTCAAAGATGGAAAACTTGTGAGACTCAGAAAAACAAGGCCATCAAGATCTGGTGCTCACTGGTTTCCCCGTATGAAAGAGTTGGTGAAGGGAATAAGAGGATAAAAAATTTTATTAGGAAATTATTCTAAGCTTGTGCGCTCACTGCCGTCAGGTCAAAACGCATTCACAGCTACCTCTCCATTTGGTTTCTGAGGCTCTAAATTACTCAGGTAGAGATTGTCCATCTTTTTTTTTCGAGGAGCCATTGGTAGATTGAAACCTCAATCTCTCCAACTTTTGGATTAGCAGTGCAGCTCCCTCTCAGCTAATCCCCCAGAGCTCCCTATTTTCCAAGGCTCTACTAACTCACTCATTTGTGGTCAAGTCTGAATGTACATTTAGCTGACTCTCCGGCAGGTTTCGGAGGCTACAAATTCAAACAGGAAGTGATTGCCAATTTTTCTCCCTAGGAGCAGTTGATTAGTTTGATCCACCTACCTTTGGATTGGCAGTGCAGCTGCTTACCCACTAGCTACCAGACGTCCCTTAGTCAGAGCTAGAAGAATCTAAATCAAGAAAGTTTACATTTTTAACTTTTGTGTACTTGATTTTTCAAGTTTTATTAAATAATCAGTACTCAGTATCTGTATTACCTCTTAATCATATTTTCCTACCAACAGAGAAACTTAACATTAAGTTTGTGCCTCCTGAGGCTAGAACTGGACTGCTGTCTTTTGAGGAGAGTCAGAGAATTAAGAAACTTCATGAAGAGAACAAACAGTTCCTGTGTATACCAAGAAGGTGAGTTGAATAAAAGCTTAGAATATCTTAAGGCAGAACAAGGCCACTAAGGATAAGATTTCTGAGTTGGTGTATACTTGTTGGTGTGCATTGTTTTCTCAGCTGTCATTAAATAGGATTTCTCTGTTATTTTGGTAACTTGCATGAAATATTTTCTTCTATTGTTTCAGACCAAACTGGGACAAACAAACTAGTCCAGAAGAGCTCAAACAGGCAGAGAAAGATAGCTTTCTAGAATGGAGACGCCAGCTTGTCCGGTGAGTGTTACACTGTAGGACCATTTGCCTTGAAATCCTAAGTTTATGCTTTTTTTAGTGTGTTTCCATTGCCATTTACATTTTTAATGTAAAGTCTTAAAAAGGAAAATGATCACTTCTTAACAAGGTTGAGTTAATGCATATACATCCTTGCACAAAGAGGTGAATTGTTTTCTGTTCTTTTTCTCCTTTTCTTCTCCAGCCTTTGGGCATCCTGGGTTTATTACTGCTCCCCTGAGCGTTCTTCAGGTTGAAGTATGTGAGAGAAACAGAACTTTATGTGATAAATTTTAGGGCTTAAATAACTGAAGATAAAATTTTAGTTTGGTGTAGTGTCATATTAAGTAAATTTTATTTTTATGTTGACAACAGAAGATATATGTAAATAACCTGGTAGGTTATTAAATTCCAAATTATGATAAAATGTGGTTAATTAAAATAAAAATAAAACCCTGACAGTATTTGTATGCTTAATTTTTTTTTAATATTCGTAATCTTTAATGTGATGAATTTGAATGTTTGTCTTTCTTGAAGCCTGTTATAACTTGGCACAAGTATAAACTTTCCTTTCTAAAGCCAGGCTAGAAGAGGAACAAAAGCTGATATTGACACCATTTGAAAGAAATCTGGACTTTTGGCGCCAGCTCTGGAGGGTCATAGAGAGAAGGTAAATGTTACCATTTCTTTCTTTGTAGCGAGAATTGTCATTATGCTGTATTGAGCTCGGATGTAATAGATGTTTAGAGACCCACATTTGGGGGTCAAGGGGAATTGAACTGTGTAAAAAGATCATTGAGTATTAGTATGAAATCCAAATAGCAGCCTCTGTTGTAATAATAGTTAAGTACTCAGCTGCTCTCCAAACGGTCAGCAGTTCAAACCCACTACTAGCCCCTCTGGGGTAAAAGACCTCATGATCTGCTCCTGAAAAGATTAAAGGGCAGGAAGGTTAGGTTAATGCTGTACTATCCTTGAGGTTTCTGTGACTTGGAATTAACACCACCAAAAAAGAATTTATTAAATGTAGACTTTTGTTGTTGTGCATGGTGGCATTTATACGTGTGAGATGATGAACATTTTCTGTGGTGTGAATTCTGAAGCACATCTACTTGTTTCATCAGATGTATGTGGAGCTGGTTCCTACTCATGATACAGGAAATAAGATTATGAAAAAGAGTAGTTCTGCCTGCAAAGGGGATGTAAGTTTAGGGGAGGCATGTTGATGTACACTTCAGACTTTTAGGGAGGTTAGCTAAGTGCCAAATACAGCATCTGCACAAGGGACACACAGATGCGTGAGCTGCAGGCCTCATGGGCAGCAGAGCAGAGTATGATTCCTACTGTGTTGGGCACAGAAATAGCGGGACATGTCTCCACAGACAAAGAAGCAATGTGATAAGCATTAGGGAATCAAGGACTTTTTTTCCCCTTTTTTAAATTGGGCTTTGAAAAGAAGAGAATGATTTTAGTAAATTAAGAATAGTAGGTTTGGGCATTTCCAGTGTCATCAAAGAGAATTTCTAATTGTTAGAAGAATGCTAATATTGCTGAATCAACTTCCTCTTTAATCTTATCCCCCCTGGTATAGTTAAGTTTTCTTCCAAAGATTTTATTATTTCCAGAGACATAAATGAACCTTCAGTCTGTAATTGTTAAGTGAAACCAGGCTACTCCTTGGAAGCAAGGATTCTGAAGCTTCATCTGACATACTTTGGGTACGTTGCAAGGAGAGACCAGTCCTTGGAGAGGGATGTCATGCTTGGGAAAGTGGAGGGACAGCACAGGAGAGGAAGACCCTCGATGAGATGGATCAATTCAGTGACTGGGTAATGAGAGTAGGTGTGTCAGAGATAGTGAGGTTGGCTCAGGATAGGCCAGGGTTTAGGGCTCTTGGACACAAGGTCACTATGAGTTGCAAGTGAGTCAGTGGCACATAATAACAATAATATGTACCTGATAAGAATATTAGCAAATTGTTGCCTTTACTTGAAATTCTCAGAAAAAGAATATTACCACAATTAGAAAACTAGGCTTAGATTAAACTGTAAAAGTCTCTTTCATTCCTTTGTAGGGTGAGGAGAATGTTCCACAATTAGGTAGTTGTGATACTTCTACAACTTTTGAATATCTAAAAAGCCACTGAGCCGTACACTTCAGGAGGGTAGATTTTCTAGTATGTGGTTTATAGAAAGTCACTCATATAGGTCTTTCTACTTACCAAGCCTGCTTCCTTGGGGGGCAGAAGAAGCCTGTTGAGCTTGAGATTTGGGGAGGCAGAATTAGCATAAAATTCTAAGCCTGAAAAAAGTAGACGTTTGTAGTGGATTTCCAGCCACCACCCACACTCCTTTCATTCTTAGTCCTTCATGAGCAGATGGAGCTTGGGAAGAGCTCATAGGGTCCTTCTGTGTAGCAGATTGGACTGTTGTCTCTCTTCAGCAGTTGAAGGACGTGTTCTGCTGAGAATGCCTGTTTTCTTATTTCTGAATTTGCCCTCTGAACTTTTATGGGGATACCTCATTTGCACATTTCATACCAGTTTTGGGGTGGTGGTTGTTATGTGCCGTCGAGGTTTGGGGTATTTTGTTTTTAAATTCCCTCCCTATTTCTCTCTCTTTTCCTCTGTTCTGTTTTTGGTTGGTTGGTTGTCTTTTTAATTTATTTTGCTTTCAAGCTTTTTAAATGGTCTTTCACAAATATCCAGGGTTATATGTTCATATTTTTAAGCAGTATATTGTTGTTTGTTGTTATGTGCCATTGAGTCACCTGCAGATCATAGCGACCCTATGCACAACATGTCTAAATCCTGCTTTATCCTGAGCCAACCTCATTGTCTCTGACACACCAAACCCCCATTACCCCAGTCACTGAGTCAATCCATCTCATTGAGGGTCTTCCTCTCTGGCAGTGTCCCTCCACCCTCCCAAGCATAATGTTCTTCTCTAAGGACTAGTCCCTCCTTGCAACATGCCCAAAGCATGTTAGACAGAGCTTAAAATCCTTGCCTCCAAGGAGCAGCCTGGTTTCACCCTCTCCAGGACGAACCTGTTTGTTCTCTTACCAGTCCATGGTATATTCAGTATCTTCTCCAGCACCACAGCTGAAGGGCATCAATTCTCCTTCTGTCATCCCTAGTCATTGTCCAGCTTTCTGATGCATTGCAAGTAATGGCAAAGACCATAGCCTGGATCAGGTGCACCTTAGTCTTCAGACTGCTCTTTAATATTGCTCTTAAGACTGCTCTTCAGTATTCTGGAGTTGTCCGTGACAGCAGATTTCCCCAGTGCAATTCATCTTCTGATTTCCTGGCTGCTGGTACCAAAACTGTTGATATATATTACAAAAATAATTTATAGTTCTTACCACTCGTCCAGTAAGCAGTAGAGGAGATTGAAACTGTCAACAGCTTCATCTTGCATGGATCCACAGTTAACACCCTTGGTACAAGCAATCAAGAAATAAGGAGACACATTGCAATGGGAAAATATGCAGTTAGAGAACCTCTCCAAATTATTGAGGAGTAGCAGTGTCAGTTTGAGGATTAAGGTGTGTCTGATTCAGGCCGTGGTCTTTCCAATTACTAACTATTGCCTGAGACCTGGCCAGTGAATAAGGATGACAGAAAAAGAATTGATGGCTTTGAGCTGTGGTGTTGGAGAAGAGCACTGAACGTCCTATAGACGGCAAAGAGAATGGCTAAGTCTTGGAGACGTACAGCCAGAGTGTTCTTTGGAGGCAAGAATGATGAGAATTCGCCTCACATACTTTGGGAATGTTGCTAGAAGATGCTATTCCTTGGAGAGGGACATGATGCTGGGAAGGGTGGAGAGTCAGTGAAGGAGAGGAAGACCCTCAATCAGGTGGATTGACAAGGTTACTGCTGCAGTGGACTCTGTGTGTCAGGAAGTGTGAGGATGGTGCAGGACAGGACTAGGTTCAGATCTTTTGTTCATAGGGTCACTATGAATCATACTCGACTTGATGGCACCTAACAACAACAGCAGCAACAACTCAGGGGGAGGTTGTCCTTTGGCTTCATGTGAACAACTGAGCTGAGGCTTGCCCTGTCCTGCGCCATCCCTAAGAGCTCAGGTATACTTGAGCTTCTTGTTGAGGATCTTCCTTTCTTTTGCTGACCATCTGCCTTTCTAAGCCTGGTGTCTTTCCAAGGACTAGTGCCTCCTAACAACATACCCAGAGTATGTGATACCGAAATTTCAGCGTCCTTGCCTGGTTGCAGTTTCTCCAAGATGTAATTGTTCTTTTGGCAGTCCATAGGATATTCAGTACTCTTCTCCAGCACCACAACTCAAAGGCATCTATTTGTCCAACTTTCAGATGCATAGAAGGTAATTGAAAAAAACCTTATCTGAAGAGCTCTGGTGGCCTAGTGGCAGGAAGCTGCACTGCAATCCCAGAGGTGCGTGGTTCAAATCCACTAGATGCTCTGCTGAAGAAGGAGGGACAATCTCCTCCTGTACCAGTCAGATCCAATTTGATGGTACACACACACAAAATAATAAATTAAAAAAAAGACCTTATCTTCACTCCAGGACACCTTAGTCTTTTTTTTTTTCTTTTGTCTTTGTGTGTGTGTGTACCGTTGAATCAGATCCAACTGGTACAAGAGGAGACTGTCCCTCCTTCTCCAGCGGAGCATCTACTGGATTCAAATTGCATATCTTTGGGATTGCAGCACAGCTTCTTACTGGATTCAAACTGCATATCTTTGGGATTGCAGCACAGCTTCTTACTACTAGGCCACCAAGGCTCTCTTAAAACACCTTAATCTTTAAATTGACATCATTGCTCTTTAACTCCTTGGAGGAATTCTTGACAGCAGATTTTCCCAGTGTGACCCATCTCTTGATTTCTTGACTGCTAATACCAAGGGTGTTGATTGTGGTGAAGATTTTTGTTTTCTTGATGTGGAGATATAATCCATATTGCATGTATCTTTTCCCTAGGGCCTAGCGAGTCCCTTTTTTAAAAAAGTCAGTCCCTTAAAAAAAAAAATCACTCTCTGGTGGCCTAGTGGCAAGGACCTGCAACTACAATCCCAGAGGCTCACGGTTCGAATCCACCAGATGCTCTGTTGGGGAAGGAGGGACAATTTCCTCCTGTACCAGTCAGATCTGATTTGACGGTACACTCACACAAAAATAATAAAAATTTTTTAAAAAAATCATCAAAACAACTATGAGATGTCATCTCACCCTAGTAAGATTAGCAAAATTCAACACAGCTGCAAACGACAAATGCTGGCGAGGTTGTGGAGAAACTGGAACCTTATCCACTGTTGATTGGAATGTAAAATGGTGCAACCACCATGGAAGGCTGTATGGCTGTTTCTCAAAAAGTTGCAAATAGAAATACTGTTTGACCCAGCAATTCCACTACTGGGAATATACCCCAAAGACACTGTAACTGCCACCCAAGCAGATATATGCACACCCATGTTTATCGTGGCTTTGTTCACAATTGCAAAGAGTTGGAAACAACCCAAGTGCCCATTAGCAAAGGAATGGTGGTATAGTCACACAATGGAATACTATACAGCTTTGAAAAACAAGAAACTCATGAAATATTATACAAAATGGATGACCCCGGAGGACATGCGGAGTGAAATATCTCAGTCACAAAAGGACAAATATTGCATAGTGCCACTGTTGTAAAACAAGACTAACATCGGGGGGTTGGGGAGAACTTAAGAAGGGATAAGTAATGTATACTGGGTTGAAACAGATGACGGAGAGAACTATTTGAAAGGTATATATGATTGGGTATTATTGCCATGACAGGAGTCCAGAATGAAGGCTGCAAAGTGGAGTGGACTTGGGGGGAGGGATTGTATAACAATGAAAGAATTATTTTTTTTTTTTACTTTTCAAAGAGCAGAGCAAACTGGGCACTGAGAGGTGGGGAGGGAGAAAAGTGCAACAATGAATGAATGGAAATACAAAGTCTCTGTAAATGTTTATTAAAATTAATAATAATTAAAAAAGAGGAAAAGAAAAACAACCTAACTGTATCAGCATGTTATCACTAATTAAAATATAATTGATTAAAAAAAATCTGTCAGAAATGGAATTAAAGACTATTGTGTAATGGAGCAAGACTAAGCATTCTCACACTCAATATATGTTTTTACCTTGTGCTGTTTCTGATTCCGCCCCCTAGTTTTCCTTAATAGACATTAACCTTCTGCCATTAGAAGGAGTGGGGGAGGGGGAGGGTGTGGAGCAGAGTCTGGCTGCCTGGCTGAATAGGATCAGGGGAGGGGATCTGAGAGTCTTAAGAGCTCTACTCGGATTTTCCTCCAAACACTCCCCTTCGTCCCACATCTCTGCCTTGCCTCAGGCCTGTCTGATGCTTCTCATCCTAGCTTATTTTAGGATGTCAGTGGGTTGACTTCTGTTGGTATTCCCCTCTGCAAGCACGTGACATTTGCCTTTCTATTGGTTCTACTGACCCTTCCACATTTTTAAAGTGAGCTCACATTTCTTACTTTCTATTCTCTTTCTCTTTGTCCTAATGGGTTTCACTTTGGTAGGTCTTACAAAGGAACAGAGGTAAACCTCATGTGTTTAGTCGTCCATGTTTAACTGGAAAGCCCTTTTTTGCCTTGGCTTTTATGTCCCACTGTAGACACTGGTTTCATCAGCTTGAATTTGTACTTCCTGGAATTTCAAGCTTCTTGGATTGTAGCACTGTTTGCTCTGTTGTTTGTGTTATGTAATATTTCCTCTTTTCATGCCAGAATATGTTAACTCAAGGAATATTGTTTACAGTGCATGTGAGTGAATCTGAGTTACATAGAAATATTAATGAAGTGACTACTGCCACATAATTTCACAGAAGTATTTATGTCTACTCTATAGCAGATGTCTCCTGTTTAGTAACAGGATAATTTAGCCATCTGCTTCTTGATTTTAATAGTGGTTATCGAGAAGATTTGATGTATAACATGCCATAGAAATCCAGGAAACTGCTGAAATACTGAGGGCAGAACATTCTATTCCAGGAAGAAAGGCACTTCCATGGTACTGCACGAATCCTTCCTGATACATAGCTGGTACTTCACGCCAAGTCTTAATTCAGCACATGAAGCAAGCTGTTTTGAAAAGTCTGTCCCATTGCCATCAGATTCATTCCTGAGAGTGTGTATCACAGACATTGCCTATCTTTCTTCTTTAGAGCCACTGGTGGATTTGAACCACTCCACAAGTGTGGCCTTTGGCTTAGCAGTGCAACTCTCTACAAACTATACCAACAGTGCTCCCCTCTTTTCATACTATTATTTGTTATATGCCATTGAGTTAGAATTGACTCATAGCTGTCCCTCCAACAGGTTTTCAGAGGCTGTTAGGCTCACAGGATAAGATTACTCATCCTTCTCCCATGGAGCAGCTGGTAGATTTGAATTGCGTGCCTTTGGGTTGACAGTGCAGTTCTTTATGCACTAGGCCACCAGTCTTTCCATTATTAGCGTTTCTAAATTAATTTCCTACATGTTTTCTAGGCAGGCGTAATGTGTGACTTTGCTTTATTATGCTTTCCAAGTTTGTATATTATTGAATCTTTAAGATTTGAAAGTGGCAGATAGCATGTTAAAGAAAGAACTCTTGGAGCCTGCTTAATTATAGGACTTAAAAAAATTAGCAAGTTTATGAGATTCTTTGAATTATAGGATTATGCAGAAAATACCCCTCTTCTGTAAAGAAACTCTGCTTCACCCTGAACGTTAACTTCGATTTAATGCATTTCCTGCTTCTTTGCATAATTGAAGAGTTACCTGAAAAGGCTTGTTAACCAAACATGGGGTTTTTAAGACACTTCTGTTAGATAGTAGTACGTCTGCATCTTCTTTTCCACCTGACTTCTTTCCCAGCAAGAGGCTGGAGGAAGGGGAATCATTCTGGAGAAGTGATTCTCTTCCTCCAGCCCTGCTGGACAAATGTTCTGTCCTGCGACATTTGTGGTTAACTTAAGGAACTTAAAGTCCACTGCAGAAACTTTTACTGCTGTATCTTTGGACAATATTACAGAAGAGGTCGGGCTCATCATTCTTACTTTAATATGACAACTTCAGTTGCTGTTTTGCAACTTAAATATGTTCTTGAAACCATGGATGGTGGTTTGCCAAATGTGTGTTTTCTTTGTTGTTAGCCCTGGGTTTGAGTAACGTACTGGCTTCCATAATAGTGGCTTTTGATTAAGGTGGGGTTTTTTTTGAGGTCTTATCAACAGAGGAAATATCAGTAATCAGAGACTAACTATTCTGTAGATATCCCCTTAAAGTGTTTGGAGTACTCTTACCTCACCAAAAGAACTTAATAGAAGTTCCAGCAGTGAAACCGTATTTGAGCCCCTCTCCATATTTTATATTTTTTAAATTTTATTTTATTTTATTATTTTTGTGTGCGTGTACCGTCAAATCAGATCTGACTGGTACAGGAGGAGATTGCCCCTGAGGGCTTCCCCCGGCAGAGCATCTGGTGGATTCAAACCGTGAGCCTCTGGGATTGTAGTTGCAGCTCCTTGCCACTAGGCCACCAGAGCTCCCCTACCCCTCACCATATTAAAGCAGAAGGTTAAGATTAAGAGCCCAGCCTCTGATCCACATTGCCAAGACTCAGACTCCAGATATGTCACTTACTAGTTGGTGAGCTGTTTCAAGTCTTAATTTCTTCATATATAAAATTAAGAAACCATACCCATTGCCAGCAGGTTATTTTTGACAGCAACATTCTACTGGGTTTGTGAAACTTTAAGGGGAGAAACTGTCTATTTTTCCTGCAGACTAGCTGGTGGATTTGAACCGCTGACCATTTAATTAATAGTGCAGCACTTAACGCACAATGCCAACAGGGCCCCTTCCCTCTTAAATTAACTAGGGAAAATTAACTGCATTAATTGTGTCTAAAAAAATGAACATATGGAAGTTCTTTCAGTGTGGAAAGCACTTGCCACCATTGTTACCATTATTTGAGCAGTGCTTGGTGAGCTTTCACTCTGACTACACAACGTTCAGTTATGACTCTTAAAAAATTGTTTTTAATTGCTTTGCATTTGTTTTTTCAGTGATATTGTGGTCCAGATAGTAGATGCTCGAAACCCACTCCTGTTTAGATGTGAAGATTTGGTAAGTAGAGTTAGGAAAGATTCATGCTTAAGTCTTCTGAGAAGAAATGGAAAGACAGCATCACTCAGAAATCGCTCTGAACAGCATTCTGTCCTGTCCCCTTTTTGTTTAATTAGACTCCACTCTCCTCCCTAGGGTCAAGAGCTTGCATAATGCCACTGTTTAGACAGGTGTTTTCCCTCTTGAAACAACTGGTTCTGCCCACAGAAAGGCTCAAAGGCTAACATGTACTTTCCAACTTTTAGTTTAGAAGCCACTTTGCTTATAGACATTTTTCCACTGTTAACCTGTTTTTTAAGAGACATTAACCAAAATAGCATTTTCTTTTACCATATTTCCTAGTCATTTCACTTTTGTCCATCTCATTAAGTTCTTTTTTCACACCTTAGTTACTAGTAAGTAGTGTTTTATAGATCTACAAGTTTGTGAAACACCACAGGGAGCTATATCTAGAAGTTGTGAGGATCACATGAATTGCTGTAATATCTACTATGAATTAATAAAGCGCTTGTACACATGGAAGGTATATCGCATTTCTGAGGATCTCAGCAGGACTAATAAAGATTTTTTAAATTTATTGGCAAATAACATTTTAATGGTGGATTTGTTAAGGCGTCTGCTTTTATAATAAGCTCTGCTTTATATTGGAAAGCTGTTAAGTGGTCGTTAACTTTATTTACTGAATTTTGTGTTCCTTTTATGTTTTAGAAATACTTGTTACTTCTAAAGATGGTGTTACTGGCTCTCCTAATGTGACTGAAAAAAAAAATAGGCTGTCAGCTCTTCTAGTTCTTTAATTTGTTTTGAAAGAAGCAATGTAATGTTATTAAAGAGTGTACACTATTTAAAGAATATAGACCTGTTACGCTGCAGGACAGGAAAGCTTTATTTTTTTTTTTTTTAGGTTTTTGGGGTGTTTTTTTGTTTTGTTTTGTTTTTGTTTTTTTAATGTTAAACGGCCTAACTCCCTTTCTGGGAGTTCAAGGGGGCCTGGGTAATAGGGAGTTGTGCAGTTAACCCAAAGTGTCACCTCAGATTCACTTGCTGCTCCTCAGTGAAAATGGTGGGAAGTCTTGGGTCTTTGGTGCAACGTACAGACTCTGAAAACCTGCGGGAAGGTCACTCCTGAGTCAGTTCTCAACAACAATGAATTGTGGGTTTGAATTTCCTTTCAATGTTTTAATCGAATGAGCTTTTTCTAAATATGTTTATCTTCCCTAGGAATGCTATGTGAAAGAACTAGACGGCAGTAAGGAGAATGTTATTTTGATAAACAAGGCTGACTTGTTGACCACAGAGCAGCGGAGTGCCTGGGCCGCTCACTTTGAAAAAGAAGGAGTGAAGGTGATTTTCTGGTCAGCTTTGGCTGAAGCTGTGCAGCTCAGTGACAACTCAAAGGTAACCATTCCGGGAGAAGAACCTGCTTTCTGATTAATGTGCTCTTGTTCATGTTTTAGTTTTTTCTTAATGGAGACTTGTGGGTATGAGCTTTTTTTGTGCTTTTTTAAAGTGTTGTAGCAGGGCAGCCTGTAGAATGAATCCTAAGGTTACTTTTTCGATGACTGTTCAGTGTTTACATCCCCATTACTGTGCTAAAGGCTGATATTAGCTGCAGTTTTGTGTTTTTTAATCTTAGACAGGAAGCGGTATAGGAAATTTCATAATGGCCTTGTAATTGCATTTAAGAAAAGGCAGAACAAAGGGTACAACTAATCAAGACCCATCAGAATCTCTTAACTCTGAAAAGAAAGAAAAGCAGTCACTCTGAATTAAGATCTGCCAAGTTCTGTATTATATTAATCAAACTACATGTGAACAGATTGGAGTTTATTTTCTAGTTTAAAAAGTATAAGTAATTATAAGTTAATATAGTAGACTCATTGAACTAAGAGAGACCTTATCTCCAAATTTAGGAATTTCTGTTTAGTGCTCATTCCGCATTCCTCACCTTTAGGTCTACGTTCTACTCTCTGAAGCCATAATAAGCAGACCTTTACCTTGTTTGTAAATGTCTACTTCATGTGTAAAGACTCTTCCCTTTAGATTTGTCTTTTGCAGATTATATATTTCTTCTCTTCTGTCATTTGTGGACATGATATGCCTCTGGGTTGCCAATATGTGGCTTATGAAAAATAATCGTTTTGTGTGTGTAATTTTTTTTATTTTAATAATTTTAATGAACATTTACAGAGACCTTGGATTTCCATTCATTCATTGCTATACTTCTCCCCCCCCTCCCCCCCAGTTTGCTCCTCTCTTTGAAAAGTAAAAGACAAATTCCCTC